TTGATTCAAACAAGTCACGCCTGTTGACAAAATGTTAGAAAGTCAGTGGCATCTTCAAAAATGGGTGTCGGTTTGTTTTTCTGTCTTAGACCTTATTACTAGAACTTGCTGGAGTCATGTGTATATTGAAAGTGACGTAAGTCATTTCCAAGTCTGGTCACTAACAGTGACGTAAGTGACTTACGCCACTCTCATTGATCAACCTTCTGACGTAAGTGACTTGCGTCACTTTTATTGACTAACCACTATCAGAAAAGTGACGTAAGTCATCTATCAGCCAAACTATAGGTAAAACTCAAAGTTTTAAATTCTGAGTCTAAGAAGACATAAAAAAAGAAGCAGAATGTGGAAAAAAACTTTAAATAAGTCTCAATGGGACTTTAGGAAACGTTTTATTTAGTTTTGAAAAAATCCATTTTTTGACTTACGTCACTTTTATGGATTGCCACAGAGTTGTCATCTGACAAAAGTACGTATGTCAGATGACATGCGCACTTTTGTTCAGATTATGACTGACATGCGTACCTTCTGTCAGATGACGATGACATGCGTTCTTTTGTCAGATGAGACCCCTGCTGACATGCGCATGTTTGTCAGATGACATAGACATGCGTAAAGTTTGTCAGATGACGCTGACATGCGCATATAACAGGTGAGACTATTTGGATTTAACAGAGGATACTAATTCAGCATATAGGGGACAGAACAAATGTGATTGTGGGCCGTGTTCTAGACTATTATTTGCTTCTTTGTGAAGTCCCACCTTGAGATAAGGCTGTGAACTGTATTCCTTGGTTATTTCACTTCACTCATACTGGTGCAATACACAAGAAAACACGAAATCTTGTTGTTTTTGGTCTCACTCTGGTCTCACTAGGCACACAACGGAACCGTTATCCGCACGCTCAGCGCGAAGTGCCAGTAAGCGAAAGCCAGCAGAAAGGGAAAGTGGTGAAAAGATGTTTATGGTCGAGTCGTCTGGGCGGGGCTTTGACGGCAGGTGGGAAACGCTGACGGCAGGCGGTACAATGCGCATGCATAAATGCAGCCCTCCTGCTCACTCACCGATGTGCTTGTGGGCTTGTGTTGGCACTGGCGCTGCGTTGCTGTCTCGGGTAGGAACATAAGAGAGGCTGACGCTCGTCGCAAGCAGTCTGCTAGCAGTGTCAGTCAATGCAATACGCGTGTTTGGTTTACCATTAACGACTAGAGCGGGGAGCGCACTATACCGCCTACCGTCCCTGTTTCCCGCGCGCCGTTTGAACAGAGAGAAAGAGAGCGCCGATGGAGGCCCTCTACAATGGGGCGAGGTGAGGCGGGTTCCGCACGTGTCGAGAACCAGCGGTCGCGACCGAGCGGCGATCGGCAGCGCTTCGGCTGCACTTCGTGGTTTGTGAGATCCCTGGGCCGCATAAGCGACGATGGGGCACCCCGGCTCGGCTCCGCCCGGTGGACAAAGGCCCGGCTGGACCCGTCGCCGGCTGCACCCGCCTCGAGTCAGGTAGCACTGCTCTACGGCAACTCAAAAGAATCGCGCGCGGCCGCCTCCGAGTGGTGGCAGTGTTGGTTGTCTTTGTCGCACCACTGAGTCGGGGCGGGAGCGGGAGAGAGACCTCCGCTGGACTTCGCGAAGGTGTCCCTCCCCCACCCCCGCCCTTCCTAGCCAATAGGCGCGCGGAAGCGCAGCCGCCAGCGCGCTTATGCACGGGGGGCCGAGCCGATGCAGCGCTGAGCCCAGCGGACCCGGCACGGTTTTATTGCCCCCATAAGCGCTCTCTTTCTCTCTGCGTTTGAATGCGTCTCCCGGCACCCGGCCACTTCCACTCGCATTTTTACTATGACGCAGGAAAACGTCGTGCTCTCGCTATTCGGGGCTCGATAGCCCCTCGGTCCGGCTACCTTTCCGCGCAGGCGGCGTTCCCATATCATCAACGGTACTCGGTCTAGAGCGAGGTACCTGGTTTTTAAGTACTTTCGCCCTGGCTCCTGAGGAAGGTGAGGAGGGCGGGTCGGACCATGTCCGATAAGAAGAACATACCATAGGTAGTCACCACAGGAACGGGCGCTGTCGGCGGCGGCGGCGCCCCCGCACAGCGGGCCCGGGAACACGTCGGTCGTGATACCCGCCAAAACACCCAAAAAACTTTGAGCGCGGGTTGCGCTGGGTTCCCTTCATCGCACAGACCCCGGGTTTTTTCCATGAGTATCAGCATGACATAAACTTTCAAAAAAACCTCGCTTCAGAAAATTTGGCGTCCTGACCCCTCAAAATGAAACAACCTACTATCCACGCCAAAAAAACGTAAAAATTTCGACCTGCGTTTTATTCGCGAAATATGTAGCCGTTGAGTAGCTGAGCCAGGTGCTGCAATCCGTTTTGTGATATCTCAAACGGTGTCGCGTCAGGAACGTTGAGAACAAGGCCCTCCGCCCCACCACCAAGTGACCCTCGAGACGCCTTTCCGCCCGCGGCGCCGCACCCGCCCGCCCTGCGGAAAAGCGACCTGTGCAGCGTCATAGTACAAGGTGAGGGCTTTCCATCGCCGCTGTCCAATTTCATATATGTCAAATAATACAAGAGATAAAACGACATTTAGGAGACGCGGGACCCGCTATTTATCTTCTTTATTTGCTTCAAACGCTAAAGGGTGCCCAAAGAAATTACGGTCCCACATCCGTGACCACATTACCTACGCACACACAAAAATTTAAGTTGGGATCTCGATGGGATGACATAGAAAATTCACGAAAACTGTTTCGGTGCTCAGTAGCCTGTTTGAATCCGCGCGCCCATCAGCCGGCAGCCAATGGCGAGCCGAGCCTGGCGACATAAGAGGCCTCAATCAGTTTTCGTGAATTTTCTATGTCATCCCATCGAGATTCTAACTTAAATTTTTGTGTGTGCGTACGTAATGTGCTCACGGATGTGGGACAGTCGAGATTTTTTGGGGCACTCTTTAGCGTTTGAAGCAAATAAAGAAGATAAATAACAGATCCCGCGCCTCCTACATGTCCTTTTATCTCTTGTATTATTTGACATACATGAAATTGGACAGCGGCGATGGAAAGCCCTCACCTGCTTGTACTATGACGCTGCACAGGTCGCTTTTCCGCAGGGTGGCCGCGCGCGGCGCCGCGGGCGGAAAGGCGTCCCGAGGGTCACTTGGTGGTGGGGCGGGGGGCCTTGTTCTCAACGCTCCCGACGCGACACCGTTTGAGATATCACAAAACGGATTGCAGCACCTGGCTCAGCTACTCAAGGGCTACATATTTCGCAAATAAAACGCAGGTCGAAATTTTTAAGTCTTTTTGGCGTGGATAGCGCCTGGTGTTGTCTTCCTTAACATTGTGATACATGTGGTTTCGATACCTCAGAGCGAGAACCGCTCAGTCTGCCGAGGCGTTTCGACAACCGCTCAGTCTCTCGAGGCGCTTCGACAACCGCTCAGTCTGCCGAGGCGCTTCGACAACCGCTCAGTATAATAGGCTTTCCTGCAGCGGTTGAGCGGTTGTCTCCGCGGCTCAGCAGACTGAGCGGTTGTCGTAGCGCCTCGAGAGACTGAGCGGTTGTCGGAGCGCCTCGAGAGACTGAGCGGTTCTCGCTCTGAGGTATCGGTTTGCGTTATTTTTCTCCTCACTATGACAACCAAGGAATACAGTACACAGCCTTATCTCAAGGTAAATCAATTGGGACCTCACAAAACAGCAAATAATAGTCTAGAATACGGCCCACAATCACATTTGTTCTGTCCCCTATCTGCTGAATTAGTATCCTCTGTTAAATCCAAACAGCCTCACCTGTGGATTAAATATACGCATGTCAGCGTCATCTGACAAACGCATGTACGCATGTCTTTGTCATCTGACTAATATGCGCATGTCACCAGAGGTCTCATCTGACAAAAGAACGCATGTCATCGTCATCT